AATTTAACATCTTTGAAGAAAAATTACCAATCGATTGGCTTGTTTAGTATTAAAATCCATCCACTATTGACAGAGTTATAAGTGGTCAAAACCTGACCACTTTTGGTAACATGGTCGATGATATTGTTTTTTTTTTAATTGCATCCTCAATATGTTGCCGATAGACGTAATCCTATGTCAAAATGTAAGCTTTGCGGGAGACGATGTCATAACACTCGAAAGCAATTTTGTGAAATATGAAGTGAAACAAATCCTAGTTCTGCATGATGATTTTGTTTAAATTTATTTATTTGTAAAGTCGCCGGGAAATACCATCCCACGAATTGTTTTTTTTTTTATGATAACTCCTTACTTGAAAACAGGCAAAAAATCACAAACAGGCTGCTTTTTCATGGTATAAAGAGTGCTAATTCAATAATTATGCCCCTAATTTTGGCTCATACATAAATTCAGCAAGCGACTAAATTTTCAAAAGCAACCAAAAATATCCATTAGTACCGTTCCAATGACGCGTTCATTTGAATAAAATTGATAAATAGCAGATTTTTAGCGATGGGCCCAATCTTAGATCCATAGGCCAACATTAGAGCCAATTCCCCTACAAAAAATTCTATAATCCATATTAAATATCCTATGTAAGCTCCGATCGAAACAAACATTTTGACGTCACTACAAGGTTGATTGAGTAAAAAACGAATCGTGCAAAGCGGAATGAAAGCTGAGGGAAAAACGGATTACTTATTTTGTCAAGCTTCTGCTTTCATGTTCCATCAGATGTCACTGCTGTTGTTGGCGGTGGCATCGATCGGAAACTACACATATTTTGTTTTCCGTTAATTGTTCACAGAGAACAGTGCAGTGCAAAACATGTCTGGTACCTGCATTTAGATTAACAACTGAAGTCTCTCCTTCTTTACACATTCTGCACTCAAAATAGCTCACCCCTCACAGGATTTCCTTCCGCATTGTATGAATGGGGCGGGGCAGAAAGTATCGTTTGAGCAGAATATGTAAAAAAGGAGGGACTTAGAATGTTAACCTAAATGCGGTACCAGACATGTTTTGTACTGTTAGATAGGGTTAACTACCCCATTTCCGGCTTCTTAAGCACAACCTTATCTTTCTTAATCTAGCGCAGTTTAGCACCAAACGGAATGTTATTATTACTGATGGCTTCCAAATTTATTTACCTATATGATTTGAAGATTTGATATAGAGAAACAAATTGTTTAGATATTGTTATAAGTCTAACACTGCTTCTTGACGCCAAACTCGGCCTACGGATTCTAAACTCGGCCTTACGCATTGAAACGCCAATGAATTCACTTCGGCCTATCGGATAAAGAAAAAAAATGATTCGTTCGGAGAACTTCTTTTGTTTGTGGGAATTATGGGTGCAAACCTTCATATCACACGTTCTCATTGACTTTATTCGGTAGCTTATTAACTAAATTATCGTACCAAACGCCTAATTGACTTGTTAACTCTGAAATCATGGATTTATTTGAAGTTTTCTGCTCGATAGGCCCAAAATCGGCGATTAGACCGAAGTAGTTCTCTACCCCACTCTATTTTGTAATCTATGAAAGGAAATCACAAATTGGGTGTCATAAAAACATGGCAATTGAGAGATGGAGCTCGTGAGAGCTAATTTTCTCACAAATTTGAATTTTTTTTGGCTTTCTGGGGATTTGTAGTAAAGCAGGTAAAACTGTATGAAGAAAAATCATTTATATTAAAAAGTATTTTCCGGGAAAACAAATGATTGTCCCTGACCAATTAATTTAACTTGTCGTTCACTTTTTTACCTGAATATGCACCTAAAGCGAATTATTCCCACTTCTTTCAAATTCTATATGTGGATTTTTATCACTTCCTACCAGCGGAACAGCGCCGTCTCTGGAAAATGGCCAGACGATATGATTAATCTCACCAATACAATCAGGCCTACAATTCCACACCATCTATATGAACAGGTTGAGCTTGATAGCTAGCTGGTTGCGGGAACTGATGACCTTGACAAATGTCCAAATAATACTCTTTAACAAATTTGTGGTGGTCCTGAAAAGGACCGTTTAGTCGTGATGGTTGAGTAATGCTGAGCTATTAAGGTGTTCAACGTCATCCGTGGTGATCTGTTCATTGTTTGGAGCAAGGTTGACGCGCTAGGCATTGATGACCCACAGCTTCTCACGAGGAAACTGATTTCGATCGCGGTGCGGCTTCTTCTTCCTTCTATGGATGCTCGCTGCTTTCAGGATGCCTTTCGTGGTGTACTGGATAACGAAGTTCAACGCCACACGCCGAAAGCACTACTGCTGCTGCTGCGAACACCGTCGACCAGACACCACCACACACGGTGATTAAATGAGCACCGTTTAGTGAGACAGGATGAAATTCGATTTTTAAATCTGTGTTAGGGAATGCGCTGTTTGCAAGTACTCGGTGATAATTTTGATCACCATTGCAACATTTGGATATTTGTGTATTTTTCAATAGTGACCTATTGAAAATTAATAAAGTGTTCAATTTAGCAGATTGGTAGATAAATTCCCAATTCTTTGGCTTGTTTAGAATTAAAATTCATCTACTATTGACAGAGGTATATGTGGTCAAAACCTGACCTATTTTCGTCCCGCGGTCCATATTGGTTTTTTTGAAATTGCACCCCCAATATGTTGCCGAAAGACGTAATCCTACGTCAAAAATCATGTTGATGATACTCTCGGCACTGCCGGCACAGCTGCGGCACACGTGAGGCACACTGAGAAAAAAGTTGTAGCAAAATACGTGTGTATAGTGACCGCTCCTTGGTTTTCCCATAGTAATTTGCATATAAACTACAAATGGTTTGTGCCAAGTCAGTATTTTACTAAATGAGTTCAAATTTTGGGATGCTAATCAGAACCGAATTTGGAACCGTTTGAAAATTGTGGAGCGAAAATTTCAAATTTTGCATCAGTCTAATGCACATTGCACAGTGGGGCAGCAAACCCGGTATCGTGGCCAAACTCTCTAGCGCCGTTGGCATGCTTCCAACATATTTGCAGCCTTCGCAAAAAAAAATCATCCAAAATCATCAAGTTTCTATAGACACCTCAAACGGCTTGCTGTTGCAGTTCAAACTCCCACAATGTTGTAAAGCGATCTAGAGTCATCCTGCTATTTCAAAGCAGGAAATTTCAAAAGACACCTTAAATGACATATGGTTGCAGTTCAACCTCCAAAAATTATCAAATTTGAACGTTTACACGACACAACCCAAACGTAAAATCATATGTTCCGTACCAAAAACTTAGCCAGATTGTGGCGGCCATAAGCGCTCGTAAAATGCTGGATATGGTTGCAGTTCAACCTCCCAAAATTATCAAAGGAGGTCAATAGTCAGTTAGAACGTTCTCCTGCTACTTCAAAATCTAAAAATACTGTACACGATTTAAACAGGCCCGATGTTTTCTGAATCATCTTGCCCTTTAAATGCTGCACATTAGGCCTGGCCGTTTTGACATACTTTGCGCATTTCTGATGGGCAACATATACCAAATAGATAATGATGGAGGTAGGGTTAAGTACCCCATTTCCGACCGCACTTAGTCTTTCTTAATCTACCGTAGTTTAGCTCCAACCGGAATGTTATTATTACTGATGGTTTCTAAATTTATTTACCTTTCCGTACGTACCGTAAGATTTGATAAAGAGAAACAAGTTGTTGAGATATTGTTAAAAGTATACCACTGCTTCTTGGCGCCTAACTCGGCCTACATTTGTTTTTGAGAAAGCATTCTTATCACGCGTTCTTACTGACTTCGTTCGGTAGCATTTGAACGAAGACATCATATCAAGAAAACTGGCAACTTTGCCAGAATCCAAGCAACAGATACAATAGCGCTGCGCTTGAGTAAAGGTGGCCGCAATGCATAGAAAAATGAGCAAACACACAAACCATTCTTCTGAGGATGTAATCTTTGCTACCAAATTCGTTCGAAGCATTTACCTTTGAGCGGCAGATGACGCGATTGTACCTGTCTCATAGCGTTCGTATGAGAAAATGGAAGAGTTGCCAGTCTTCTTGGTCTGTTGTCTTCGATTAGAACTGAAGTATCGTACCTAAAGCATAATTTACCTGTTAGCGCCTAAATCATGGATTTATTTGATGTTTTCTGCTTGATAGGCCCAATATGGGCGCTTAGGCCGAAGTAGTTCTCTACCCTATATCTATCGTTTTCCAGGGTGCTTTCATGAACTGGCTTTGTTGGTGTTAGATTAGAAAATTTACAAAAGAGATCAATATTCACTTAGAACGTCCTCCTGCTTGAAGTAGCAGTAATCAGTTTTCAATCGCTCTGCTGTTGCAGTTCAGTTGAAACTGAATCACCACCTAAAATCGAAATTTTTCTGCTTGATACACATAGCTAATTGCCTCAATTAATTTCTGTCCAATTTGCATCCAACCTTTTTGATGTTAGGTAGGTATAGGTACAATAACAACCGAGATTTATTTTTGCCAGAGCAGAAACCGAAAATTATGACTCCACAGACAACCGGACCTCGCTACTAGCACGTTGGGATGAATGAAGTTATTCTTTAATGTTCATTTGCATTTCAACAGAAATGTTTGTTTATCTGTAAAATAGTTGAAAAAACAGATCCCGCACTGATTTGATTTCTTTATTATAGAGACTTTCCGCCAATCGTCGGATGAAAAATAACCCGACAACGTTCAAGTGGCTAGGTTTTGCGCTCGCCAATTTCTTCCAGTGCCATCATTAATCTAATTTTCCTGTTCATTATTTTTATTATTATTAATACATAATGCGATTCACTGAGTGGCCTCCATTCATAACTCGTCCGCCGAACATGGAGCTACATATTTTGCATACATGACCGTTTTTTCTCCCCCATTTGACGATGTTGATGATGCCCATCTCGGGCGGTAAACGGCACCAGTGCACACGGACCCGACAGTTTACCTCCGGCGACAGTGCCAACTAGACGCGAGCGCTCTATGGGGATATAAATCACATCCCAGTCATTGCAGTCAGTGCCTGCTTAGATTGATAACCGTCGGGTTGGCCGCCGCCGACTATGTTATTGTCGTTTGTTCGTGCGAAGGGCAAACAGCTGTTCTGTCCGAGAGTAGCTGCTGCGAGTTTGTGTCAAGTGCATCACCGACCAACCACTACGCTCCGCCGTTCCTTGTTGTGCTAAGGTCAAGGTTTTTCCCAGCCCACCCCATCGCTCTATCGACCTGGTGCTGAGAACGTCAGCTAGCCCCGCCAGAGTTGGAAGCTCGATTGTTGTGTGTGATTGTGCGTTTTTAAGTGCTTCTCGGAAGAGGAAAGTGAAAGGGCGTGAAATTTATGGTTGGGAATTTTCCTCGATGTTGGAAGGAAGAGTTGTGATGATTGCATAACTTGAATTGGATTTCTTCTGCACTATGCGGCGGAGCTCCAGGGAATAGGGGATGTAGGCAATTGGTGTAGCAAAAGCACGGGGAGTCTGATATCGATCCGTTCGAGATTTGTTCGGTAAAACTTGCGAGGAGGCGAATCAGAACATCACGTGGATTGCTTTTGAACGGTTTAGTTGTGCAACCTGTGCACAGCACAGGTTGGAATTTCATATCACTTGAAAAAAGAAGTTCTCAATTCGCTTCAGACAATGTAAAATAGAAATTCTGACGCATCATATCAAACTAGCGAATCCAAACAACAACGGTGATAAACGGCAACCAAGTAGCCGCCGCACAAAGTGATAAGAATTCAAATCTCGATAAATAAACAAACCAATCAACGAGCCAGTAGTATCGCAGTAAGTGACGATGCCGGCGACAAACGATGGATCACCACCACCACTTGGGCAATCATCCCGCCAGAAGCGAGGACTGTCAGAAGTGTCCTGCTCGTCCTCGTCGTCGTCCTGTTCCAGCTTCGAGGGTGACGCACTGTACTTGCACAATCGGCTTCCGGCACCGCACGAGTAAGTGTAGCTCGTAAAATCGGTTCGTTTTACTTCACCATCATTGTCCGATTCCGGTTCGAAGTGTGCTGTTGCTCCGCGCTCGGTTGGGATTTTATGGGAACTTTATTATCTATCGGTTTGCCCGCGTCCGACTTGCCGTGGCATGCTTCGATTGTCTGTCGCGCGGCTGTAAAAATTTAGATTGTTAGATTGAGGGGATTGATTTTTTGTGGTTTATGCGATGAATGATTCAGAAAATGTAGCTCAGTGCGACTTTTATTCATCCGCTATGCAATTCAGCTCGTAAACACTTATATGGATCTCGTCTCGACGGAATTCTTTCGCTATTGAAACGGATTTTGTTAATCCCTTTGGATAGCTCGGAATTGTACCCATCGATCGTATCTTTACACAAGAAATGCGATTTTATGTGTCGTAAGATCCAGCCACTTTGAATTCGTTTTCCTCCATAAAGCAGATCCCATGGCTCGTTGAATAGAAAAACAAAGTCATATAGAAGCTGAACGTCCAGTATCCGAGTAGTGATGTCCGATTTTCATTCGATTAATCACGATTATTTGCCATCGATGTTTTGGCACGATTATTAAAAATCTTATCATTGTACAGTAGACTGATGCAAAATTTGACTTTTTCGCTCCACAGTGCTTAAATAGTTTCAAATCAGGTCCTGATTAGCCTCCCAAAGTTACAACTCATTTGGTTAGAAACAGACTTCGCACAAACCATTTAAAATTTACATGTAAATTACTATGGGAAATCTCGACTTTTTGTTCATTGCCTTCTATTCTTTTTCCTTATAGAGCTGCGAAACAGTTCGATAGCCATTCTTATAGAAAATTTTCTCAGCTACAACTTTGCTCAAGATCGTTTCTATGTTAAACGAGACAGGAAAAAGTTATTAATTATTTAAGAGATTGGTAAACTTATGACATTATCAAGCAGATGCTCTGTAGGCAACACTGTATTTTGCAGTGTGACATAGTAGCCATGATTTTTGTGTCCTATTCAACGCCCCAGAAACACCAATGTTGCCTGCTGAGCAGTTGCTTGAGCAAGATCATAAGACATCAGCGCATTGAACCATTGATAACTTTCGATCCTTGCATTTAATCAAAAAGGGAAAATTTACTACAAGTACAGTTGAAAGCTTTTGAAGGAAATCGATATGGTGAATTATTAGATAGACATGTACAAAAATCTTGGTTTTACCATAGTAATTCCCATACAAACTTCAAATGGTTTGTGCCATCTCAGTTTCTCACCAAATGGGTTCAAATTTTGAGATGTTAGTCAGGATCCGATTTGGAATCGTTTAAGTATTGTGGAGCGAAAATTTCAAATTTTGCATCACTCTATTGTACAGGGTGAAAGGTTATTCCTGTCAGTAAAGTATATGGTCATAAAAATGAGAAGATGATGGGAAATTTAATGTTCAGTGTATTTCCTGTTTCGTGTATCTATAACATTTGTCTGAACTTAGTCCAATTCAAATCTTTCTCCCTTTCCTTTAATTACGAGCCGCATCCGTTTTTGAAAATCGTTACAGCTGGCACGCACGATATCTTGAGGCATTTCGTCCCATATTTTCACCAAACGTTGCTTAAAATTATCCACGGTTAGTCCCTTGGTATTCCCTAGTTAGCCTAATATGTAGCCCCATGCAAGAAGTCGAGAGGATTCAAATCGGGTGAGGAGGCAGGCCACTCTTTCGACGAAATGAAATCCGGGAAATTGGCCTCGCACCAAGCCTGTGTAACTTTTGCCTGATGGGACGGTGCAGAGTCTTGTTGGAAGCAGTATGGTGCATTCTTCTAATGTTTTTGGACTAAGGGAAGCATTATCGATGTAATATTTACTGTTGATTTTAACACCAGGTTCAATGAACAGCAATGGAACATTCAATGTTTTGGAGAACCATCCCCAAACCATCACCCTGGAAACATTCTGGAACCTTTGAACAGCCAGTTTGTCACGAACGAGGAATATCAGCAAGACAATGTTGTGGTGATTCTGTAGCAGGAACATTTTCTCATCCGAAAACAGAATTTCGCAATCACCGTGCCGTTTGAGCAGTTTCCGACATCTTTCGACTCTAGCTATCTTTTGCACCCGCTGTTTTTAGTAAGCATTCAATCCGAGATCATCTTTCAAAATACTCCTGATCGTTGGCTGCGACATTCCGAGTTCTTTGGCCATCTTACGCCCAGACTTACAAAAATTCCGCCGTTTGATAACTTCCGGAGTCCTGACACTGCGTTTTCGGCCTGGTCTGGGAAGGATTTTCCACGAACCGGTTTCCTTGTACCGGATGAATCTTTCGTTTATTCCGAGTGGATTCAGCGTCTTCAAAATAGAACACGGTCTATCATGCTTCAAAAACCGGCTTATCACGAGTTCCCTTTTCGCGTCCATGATTATCACCAGGCTTGCTTCCACTCACTTGCTATAAAAAAATGATTTTCTGAATTTTGAAATCATTAGATGTTTGAATGATATTTTGTACTTGTTACATACAAGAAGAGGTTGAAAGGCAAGTGTTTGACACATAAAACCTGTCAAATTCGCTGATTGTGACTTTGACAGGTTTTATGTGTCAAATACTTGCATTTCTACATCTTTTTGTATCTAACAAGTGCAAAATATCATTATAACATCCAGGGTTACTTCCACTCACTTGCTATAAAAAAATGATTTTCTGAATTTTAAAATCATTAGATGTTTGAATGATATTTTGTACTTGTTAGATACAAGAAGAGGTTGAAAGGCAAGTGTTTGACACATAAAACCTGTCAAATTCGCTGATTGTGACTATCTGAAAGCGAGTTTGACAGGTTTTATGAGTCAAACACTTGCCTTTCTACATCTTCTTGTATCTAACAAGTACAAAATATCATTATAACATCCAGGGTTACTTCCACTCACTTGCTATAAAAAATTGTTTTACCGAAATATGAAAACATTAGATGTTACAATCAGGGTTACTTCCACTCACTTGCTATAAAAAAATGTTTTTCGGAATTATGAAATCATGAAATAGTATAATGCTAATTAGTACTTGTAAGTTACAAGAAGAGGTCATGAAGTATATGTTTGACACATTAAATCTGTCAATATTGCTTTCAGTGCGTCACAATCAGCGATTTTACGACTCGTGAGCGCTCACTCTGAGTGAATGCTCACGAATCATAAGATCGCTTATTGTGACGCTCTGAAAGCGAAATTGACAGGTTTTATGAGTCGAACACATACCTTACACCCTCTTCTTGTTACTTACTAGTACAACATATCATTATAACATCTAATGATTGCATAACTCCGAAAAATATTTTTTTATAGCAAGTGAGTGGAAGCAACCCTGGTTACAATGAGAATTAGTTCTTGTAAGTTACAAGAAAAGGTCTTGAAGTATGTGGTTGACACATAAAACCTGTCAATATTGCTTTCAGTGCGTCACAATCAGCGAATTAACGATTCGTGAGCGCTCACTCAGATTGAACGCTCGCCAATCATAAGATTGCTGATTGTGGCGCTCTGAAAGCGAAATTGACAGGTTTTATGAGTCAAACACTTGCCTTTCAACCTCTTCTTGTTACTTACAAGTACATCATATAATTATATCATCTAATGATTTCATAATTCCGAAAAACATTGTTTTATAGCAAGTGAGTGGAAGCAACCCTGATAACATCTAATGATTTCAAAATTCAGAAAATCATTTTTTTATAGCAAGTGAGTGGAAGTAACCCTGATTATCACGAGTATCAAATGAATGAAAATTCAAAACAAACTTGCATGCCGTATTGACATTTCAACACACTCTAAAAGAAAAATATGCAGACATGTATGTGATTAACCCATTTGATACTACAACTGCTTAAAAAAAAAAGTTGGAGGGTGGTGTACAAGACACGACCGCATTGTTGACGTAGGACTACGAAATTTTTGTTCGATTTTCTAGTTTGTTGTTTCGGATATTATTTTGGAATTAATTGAATTTCATTATTCAACTCTTTTGTAGAAAGTTGTGGTGGCCCTGAACTGTGATGGTTTCTTTATGGCAAGCTTTGCTATAATCACTGGACCTCGTGGTTATTCGCGTTTATACATATCACTTGCGCAGCAAATCAGTTTGGCACGGCATTTGTGACCAGCATACCAGTAGTATGAAACAGGTGAAAATTTGCCCAAATCTGTCAATAAATTTGTTTGTTTTGCATTTGCTTATGGCAAAATACTGAACCTTTCGGGAACATTCCCGCCAAAGAACTCACCAACACACTTTTTGTTACATGCCTCATGCATGTGACAAATGAAATTTTGATTGCCTTTCTTTTTGAACACGCCGGTAAAGTACACAGACTCCTCCCATCATGAGTAGTTTGCTATCAAGTAGCGACACTGGCTCCTCTTCTTTTGTACTCACTGTACTTAAGTCTATACTCTATGTATTATGGTTCGGACGATTTCGAAGATGTCGCGCAGCAGGCGAATGCAACGATGAGGGTTTCTCAGTTTATGAAAGTGAAACGGAATAAATTTAACCCACCGATAAGACTACAACAGAACATAATTTATTTCCCTAACAAATTATTTGATTTTTGTATCATTTTGATGTATTTAGTGGCAAATTAACTGGGTGAATCATTGGTTACTATATATAAAAGTAGAAGGGTCTGTGCCTAGGGGCACGAACGGAAGCTTGACGTAGGATGTGAACATTTAGTTCTTTTAATTGATCAATCATCAATTATCTTAACTCTTTCCGTTTTTTATTTGTAAGCGTATCAAATTTGTAGTATTTATTTCAAAGAGAAAGTTGATGAAGAGAATCCAAGGGACTGTCAACTTGAGTATTTTCGATTCATCTGCCCTACTTTAAAACGAGGGGGACGACTCTATCTACGATGCAAAAAAGATTGTGTTTTGCTGTGGCTAGCTGCGCGCACGCTGAGTAGATAGAAAGAAGATTGATGACGATTCTGAAGATTTCCTGCAAA